ATATTGATTGAGTTGTTCACAGTGGTAATTAATCGTTTCACTTAGAGGTTTAATTTGTGAAAAAAAGGTGTTACATCAAAAAATATCAGGGTTTTATCTTTGATGTTTATGTCTTTTATCCTCTCTGTGAACTCTTTATATAGACTTAATTTTCCTAAAATACTACATTTATTTTTACATTGCTGGTTGTATTTCTCTCTTCCCATTTGTGACCTTGGGATAATATTGATTTTTGTCCGTTATAATTAATCAATATAGTTGGTGTCTCTCAAGGTCATTCAAATCAAATATATATGCACAAACGTTACCAACCATTTTCACTGTTGATATGAGAAAGCAAAAGCTATCTACGCCAACGGTGTGTCTTCTTTTCTTGTATTCTTGCGTCGAGGTTTCAAAGGTATAGTATCGTGTCACTGTTGCTACTAATATTGATCAGAGCAGTTGAATAAGACAGATGACCTAGTCTATGAGGTTTTTGCGTCGGTGGCACAGCGGTAAGAACGCTCGCCGACCATGCACATGGCCCGGGGTTCGACCCCCGGCCACAGACGCACTCCTTTACCTCGCGAAGCCAGAAATAATGCTGGTAAAGAAGAAAGGTTGGGCGTGAGGCTAGCAACCCCATCCTGTAAAATTAATCACTGCTACAGAAACTTCAAGCCACTAGCTTGGAGCCCTATGTTCCACTGGGAACATGAAGGGAAAAAACAGATGTAGAGCAGTTGACTCGCGAATCTATTAGGCAGGAAATTCATCAGCGCAAACTACCGAGTGCATTGACGGTCATATCGGAATTAAGACACATCTTAAACACTATATTTTACCAGCTGTTCATAAAAGACTTTTAGAATGTTTGTCAAGCGTGTAGTTGAAACATGGTAGAGCGAAATGTACATGTCTAGAATTTGTCTTAACAGCACTCCAAGTTGATGTACTATAAGTAGGCCATACATTTTTAAGAGGCTTTTCCCACTAACTGGTAAATCCCTTCGTGAATACAAACCATCTAGAAGAATATCAAATACCAGTAGCTATCCATATCAGATGAGCTAGTCTCTGAGATCTTTGCGTCGGTGGCACAGTGGTTTGGACTCTCACTGACCAAGCACATGGTCCGCGGTTCGATCGCCGGCTAATGCACACCTTTTATTTACCTCCACATTCTTCTCCAAACGTAAATTTGATAGTTCAATGTACTTCGTTGAATTGGGATGTCATTTCGTTTCCGTACAAATCATTTTCATACAGGATGAATGTATTATTCACATATCGGCAGTAGAATGATGATTCTCTAATAAGGACCATTTTCTTGTAGGTTCAGAAAGAAATTTGCTAACATGGAACTGTCCATTGGAGAGCCCATCATCATCTTATCTGCCTGTCTATAGAGTTCACCGTCATATTTAAAATTCGCAGTCCTTTAAGGTCTTATACTGAGTTCCTGATATTTATTGAGTTGCTATTTATTTGTTCACAGAGGTAACTGACCGTTTCTGTTAGAAGTAAATTTGTGAAAAGGTGATACGTCCAAAAATATCATAGTTTTATCTTTGATGTTAATACCTTTTATTCTGTCTGTAAATTTTCTTATATAAACTTAATTTTCCTAAAATACTACATTTTTATTTTTATACTGTTAGTTGTATTTCCATCTCCCCTTTTATAACGTTGGAATCTTATTGATTGTTGAATGTTTTAATTAATCAATGTAGGTCATTTAAGGCAAAAATATATATATGCTTTTTGCGAGTTGGTCACGCATTGATATCAGTTAGAGAACCATTGAAAACCGATGAGTACTGGACAGCTGTTTCACCCACAGCCCTAGGTTCGAACCCAAGACCTTCCGGTTCCAAGGCAAGCTAGCTTGTATACCATTCAGCCACTGGGACCCAACTCCTCAGTGGTCAGTCAATGAATTCTAACTTCTACCATATCATGATTTAGCGCGACCCCAACCATTGTCGTTGGTGGGATATCCATCCTCACACGTGACCTCTGGATGGACGTCAATGGTCATCACTTCCCACTTGAACTCCAGGAAACTCCGTCCTCTGGCAAGTCACTAGCGAGCATAAGAATAATTTTCTATAGTTGGTTTGTGCCACTGTGCGTCGGTGGCACAGTGGTTAGGACTCTCGCTGACCATGCACATGGTCTGGGGTTGAGCCCTCGCCGACGCACACCTGATATCTATGGTCGGCCTGCAAAATTTGGGCTACCGATATCCACGCTGAAAATTCCATACTTGTACCAAAAATAACAGCTGTCCAGTACTCCCCAGTTTTCAATGGTTCTCTAACTGATATCAATCCATGATCAACTCATAAAAGCAAAATTAATCCTTACAAACGAACTATAGAAAATATATATGCACAAACGTTATCAAAAGTTTTCGCTGTTGATATGAGACAGTAAAAGCTCTCCAAGTCAGTGGTGTTTCTTTGTTCCCTTTATTCTTGTGTTGAGATTTGGAGGTATCTTATTGTGTCATTGTTGTTGCGAATAGTGATTAAAACAGTTGGCTCGCGAATGGAATACGTAGGAAATTCATTAGCGCAAACTACCGAGTGCATTGACGGTCATCTTGGAATTCAAACACATCTTACACACTATATATTATAAGCTAGTCATATGAGAGTTTTAGAATAGTTGCCAAGCATCTAGTTAAAACGTAGTTGGTCGAAATGTACATGTTTAGAATGTGTCTTTACAGCACTCCAAGTTGATGTACTATAGGTAGGCCGTATATTTTTTAAGAGGCTTTTCTTATTACATGGTAAATCTCTTCATGAATACAACTCATCTAGAAGAATATTAAAAAGTAGTAGCAATTAATATCGGGCGGACTGGTCTCGGCGTCGGTGACTAGGCGGATAGGACGCTCGCCAACTACGCACATGGTCCGGGTTTCAATCCCCGGCCGACACACACTTGATATTAATGGTAGGCTGACAGTTCCATAGTTGTACCGAAAATACTGTGTGGAATCGAGCTATAATAAAAAAAGGGGTAGGTCTAACAGCTTTGCCGACAGTAAAGACAACAAACTCTCCAAAAAAAGAATTGGCACTTAAAATTCCCATCCCATTTTCTCCACCTGTTTCCTTTGTTTGGTTAAAAAGCGTTTAAATTCACACATTTAACGACTTTATGACGTTCCTGTCCTATTTTGTCTATTACTAGCCTAGGTCTACGCAAGCAATCTTGTTCATTCCATATTATTAGATTCACTGCTACCTGATAATCGTTCTCCACATCATCGTTATAATTTAATCATCATAATTATTTGTTTGTCATGTGTTACCCTTGAACTTACGTCTAGTTTATCTTATTTGGCGGTTCATTTCTCTGTAGCGCGAGACCTAGGTATAAGGCTGTTATAATAAATAATAATTTTTTCTTCACGTTCCCAGTGGAACATAGGGCTCCAAGCTAGTGGCTTGAAGTTTCTGTAGCAGTGTTTAATTTTACAGGATGGGGTTGCTAGCCTCATGCCCAACCTTTCCTCTTTACCAGGATTATCTCTGGCTCGGTGAGGTAAAGGAGTGCGCCGGCCGGGGATCGAACCCCGGACCATATGCATGGTCGGCGAGCGTGCTAACCGCTATACCACCGATGCACTATAATTTTTACAGGATGGGGTTGCTAGCCTCATGCCTAACCTTTCCTCTTTACCAGGATTATTTCTGGCTCAGTGAGGTAAAGGAGTGCGCCGGCCGGGGATCGAACTCCGGACCATATGCATGGTAAGGCTGTTATACAGACCTAATTTTTCTAAAATGCTACATTTATCTTTACAGTGCTGTTTGTATCCCCCCCTCCCAACCTATAACACCGGAAACCTATTGGCAGTTAGCTGTTTTAACTTATCAATGTAATTACTGTCTCTCAAGGCCATTTAAAGCAAGTGTTTATACGCAATTGCCATCAACCCTATACGCTGTTGATTAGAAACAGTGAAAGCTATTACCAGACATCTGTTCGGCACGGGTCATGAGGCGGAAATCGAGAAATCCTTCAAAATTATTAATAGACGAAGGAGTTCCATTCTCCTCAAGTTTGCCAACCAAAAAGTAACTTCTATCAAACGCTTAAAACCAGATTTATGTGTTCCGAAAGAAGCAGTTGTTAGTCTTTCCTTGCCCACCTGGTAAATGGACGTATTTTTTCTCTCATCTGATTACGTAATCTTTGTCTTTAACCTCACCCTCCTTTTATAATCTGTAATTTTGCTAGCCTCTTGTTTTTATGATTTGAGTTGAACTCGGTACATTGTTACCTAATTTATTAGTCACTATGCATCTAACGCACATCTTATCTTCATTATGTAACTCCTTTACCATGATATGCATACATTTATTTATTTATTTTTTTAAACTTGAACTGCCTGTATAAAAACTATATAAGCGCAATTTTCTGAACACTATTTACTGATTGTGGAACTTTCTGTCAACTGACATCATGAAAAGATTGTAAGTATGTTAAAACTTTTCTGTACTTAAACCTCATAATTTATTTAGGCTGTAAGCAGCAGCTGATGAGAAGCCAACGAAATAAATGATGGTACCATATTATTCTGCACAAACCACTCTGTTGTTCTTGGTTTATTCAAAGCTTTCTATGTCAACAGTCGGTCTTCTTGCATCACTTGTTCAGTGGCAAAGTATCGTATTGTTGTTACTGCCAACAGTGATCAGAAGAGTAAGCCCAAAAATCAACCAGATGAGAAGTTTGTCAGAGCAAAATACCAAGTGTATTAACGGTTATAACAAAGGCTTCCTGCAGTATCCCCTTCAACCATCTAATAATAACAATTGGCAGTCCACCACGATGATGATAATGATGATGAGCCACTTAGCTTGTTAATGGCCACATTGCAAACTTGTGTCTGCACCGAACTAAAGACTAAACGCATAATAACTAATTACTTAAGTTTTCATTTTGCCCTCTCTTTTAAGACCTTTAATTTAAAACAAATAAAGTAGAGTTTCAATGTTCAATGTACATTTAAATGTACCATTGAACATTGAACACACACAAATAGTTTATTTATTAACTATATTTTATAATGACAACAGTCAGCTAAAAGATTTACAGTTGCATATGCATAAATATTACTTTTTCGAAAGACATATCTAGTGAGATCAGTTGGTTGAATCACAAAGTAATTATTATATTTAACAATAATGACAACATTGACACTATTTGCTTGAAAAGAATAATAGAGAGGGTGAACAAATAGTGACTACACAGTAAGTGAGTGAATGCGTGAATGAGGACGAAGTCATGAGAGGGATTGACACTTCCATCTTTGTCATTTCTGTCATTATTTGGTCAGGAAATATCACAGATAATTTAGGAGTACCGTAAAAGAAGGTTCCCTTGCTTACTCTATCTACCGCTCTCTCTCTCTCTCTCTCGCTGTGTCGATCACACATGGATAGAAAAACAGAGATATAGGAAGTTAATACATCATTACTTTTTAAAATAAAAAATAAATGAAATAAATAATTAAATAAAAAGTAATAAAGAAGTTAACTACACCAAAGAATAAGAATTAAATTAAAATAATAATAATAACATCCGTCAAAGATTAAAATTCATCAAAAGATTTCTAAAATACCGATTGAATAGAACTGATGATGTCATGGTTGGATAAAAGGAAAAACCAAACAAACTAAACTAGAAGATAGTCGGTTCACGAATAATTCCAGCTGGTATCATTGGACACGGTGGAGAACTAGCCGTTGGTGGATACTCTAAACGTTTACGTATATTCTGGATTTCTTCATAGATTTGTAATGCTTGACGTTTTCTCTGGGCATCATGACATAGTTGCGCAATTTGTTCTTCTAAGTTATGTAATATATTTCTGTAAAGAAACAATAAGAAGACGTAAGATGTAGAGGTGTTTAGTCATTTCTATTGTAGCGTTTTAAGTGTACCAGGATAACTGCTGGAAAACTCCCTACTAAACGATCTGTTTTGGCAATACTGATACCAACTGTCTGTGTGTCTGTTTTTGGCATAGAAGCTTGCACCGATGTGCAGCAGTTCAAGTCTCCGCACTCCATGTAGCACACAAAGCAAAAGTAGAAAGTAGAAGAAATGCATTATTATTATTATTATATCCTTTAATTCCTAGAGGAACATAGGGCTTCAGCCACGCGTCTCCATTCCCTTCAGTTTTCTGCCAACTTTTTCACCCAGCTCCAAGTCTGCCCACATCCTTGCATCTCCTCTTCATATGACCTCCTAATGGTCACCCTCACGCTGATGACCAACTCGCCGCTTCCCTTTCGGGTTCCACTCGAGTAATGGCTTGTCTAGTGATGTCACTTGATGGTTTCCTCAGAGTATGGCCAGCCAATCCACATCCATTTCTTCCTGCCTATTTGTTTCACAGTCGGTTCCTGCTGGGATGGTTGGCTCCCAGAGAACCCTATTGCTGACCTTTTCTGGCCGGCCATCTGATCTTGAGTATTGAGCGAAGACAACTGTTTTTAATGAAGGTCTGAAGTTTGTTTGAGATGCTCTTTATCACGAGCCATTCTCTGATCCGCATAGTGAGTAGCACCGACTAACTTTACATTGGAGTTGAAAATCCGGATCTTATATTTGATTCTGAGTGCTGTTGACTTCCACACAGACTTAAAAGTAATGAAAGCTTGTCTTGGTGTTCCGATTCTGGCTTTGATATCCTCGTCAGTTCCGCCTGTAGTTGAAACGATACTTCCCAGGTAGGTAAAGGATGTTGTTTCTTCCAGGTTCCTCCCATTTATGCTGATTGTTGTCTGTTGTTGTTGTTGCTGTTGATGTTGGCCAGGAATCTTCATCACCTCTGTTTTATCTATGTTCACTTGAAGTCCTATCTTTGATGCTTCTTCTGCCAACTTGTTACTTTTCACTTGCATATCTTCCAGTTTATGGGAAATCAGACATATATCATCGGCGAAATCCGGATCCTCCAAGTCTTCTGTGTCAGTCCATTTTATGCCTGTTTCCTCACTGCCCGTTGTCTGTCGCATTATCCAATCTATTGCAATCAGGAAGATCACCGGCGATAGTAAACAGCCTTGCCTTGCATAATAGAGACAGTAAACGGAGGTAAGAGACAAAGGAAGAGTAATGACGAAGAACAAAAAAGTTTCATTCGAAATCGCAAGTCACAAGGAGTGGATATAACACCACCAACCATTGAGAACGATTTTGAGCTATATCACCAACTGTTTCCAACCATTGGTTTTTACCGTGCCGACGACTCCAACCAGGAAGTCTACACCTTCCTACGTGGTTGGGTTAAACTAACCGTTGTGGATTTCATTGACTGATGCCATATTTTGGTTTGGACACCGTTAGCTCTTTCCAGTCTGACATTACCCTTCGAGGAAGGCGATTATGGTACCATTTTTCTCAGAGATTTTTTCACTTACTATTTGCCTTTTACCACCTGTTTCCATGATAAGCTTAAATAGTTATCTGTTGTTACCGATCGCCGATGCCTTTTCCATCTCTTTCACTTTCGTCGCTCACTCCTGTTCACGGTCGTTGCGAAGACTTCTTGTTAAATTTCGTTTGAGTAGCTTTCGCTCCTCATCATAATCGGAGCTCGACGGAATCAGTTTTCTTGCGTCAATCATTTTGGATGAGGTAATAGAGATACAATGGCTCTTACTAACTTTTGGTTTTAGCTTATTAACAGCTTTTGCAATTGTGTCCACAGCTAACTGTATATTGTGCCAGGCTACCTTAGCGGAAGTCCTGCTATCGACCTCAGACACTCGTCTCGCTATTTCTTCCTTAAATAGGGACTCAGTGTGTCGATCGAGTTGCGGACGTTACTATTTCACTACCATCAATTCCTTATGTCCTTGATACCTACTTGGATATTTTAGCGATTTCCGAAAATCCCCTTCCCCTACCTACGCTGCATACACCTGCTAACTTAACCCTTATTATTTGCCTTTTTTATTATCATCACTATTATTCCCTTGAGCTTTTTTATTGCAGCTTGATTTACACCGTATGTTTTGGTACAGGTATGGAATTTTCAGCATTTGATATCGGTAGCCCACATTTTGCAGGCCGACCATAGATAACAGGTGTGCGTCAGCAGAGGATCGAACTCTGGACCATGTGCATGATCGGCGAGAGTCATAACCGCTATGCTACCGACTCACATTCCCTTGAGTTTCCAGCGGAACATAGTGCTTCAGCAACACATCTTCACTTTGTTCTACTCTTTGCTATCCTCTTCAGCTGGGTCCACGACTGATCCTTTTCCTCTTTACACAATGTCCTCCATATCATCTCAGGATGACCCTTCAATCGTCTCCCACTGAGATTTCTCTCGAGCACTGATTTGTGCCACGTGCGATGCATTGAAGGTCTCCTCAACGTATGCACGACCCATTTCCATTTTCTCTTACAAATTTATTGAGCAATCAGCTATCATCTGTTGGTTTGTTCCACTGAAGAGTTACTTGTTGCGAATTTTTTCTGACCAGCCATCCGGTCATCTGATCCTCAGTATGGAGCCAGAAAAGATGACGGCTGTTGATAAAAGTCCACAGTGACCTATTGGAAATCTTTTTCGTAAAATGCTTGCCAAGTTTCTGATCCGTATAGAAGAACTAACTGACTTCACATTTTTGTTAAAAATTCGAATCTTGTTCTTTATGCTGAGGCGTAGTTCAGAAGATTTCCAAACTGATTTCACATTGATTATTTATTATTTTTTATTTTTGATTACAGCTTGATTCCACACTGTATTTTTGGTACAAGTATGGAATTTTCAGCGTGGATATCGGTAGCCCAAAATTCGCAGGCCGACCATAGATATCAAGTGTGCGTCGGCGTGGGCTCGAACCCCGGACCATGTGCATGGTCGGCGAGAGTCCTAACCACTGTGCCACCGATGCTGGCCTTGATATCTTCATCCGTGCTGTCATCTGTAGTTGAAACGATGCGGTCTACATAAGTGAAGGAAGTAACCTCTGTCAAATCTCTCCCGTTGATTGTGATTGCTGCTGGCTGTTGTTGTTGCTGCTGCTGATTGGTCGGTTGGTTATCTCCATCACCTCCTCCTCCCTCTTTTCTATGTTCATCTGGAGTCGTGTCTTCCCTGCCAGTCTCTGCAGCCAGTTTTTTTTTTGGTTTACGCCATTAAGTCTTTGAGTTTGGTTGACATTTGACATCAATCATCAGCGAAATCCAAATCTCCTTGAGTCTTCTGATCAGTCAGTGCAACCTATTCCTACCTGCTCGCTTCCCCTGCACAGTCTGATGCATAATGCAGTCCGCCATAAATAATAATAATATCACCGGTGATAATAAGCAGCCAGCCTTGTCTTACTCCTGTATTCACTTCGAACGCCTCACTGAGTTTTCCGTTGCGTATGATCTGGGACGTGACATTGTCATTATTTGTCGCCACCCTCTAAATTACTTTATGTTTGTCACCAATTCAGAGCTAAAATGCTCGTCAACCACGCATGTAGTCCAAGGTTTGAATCCCCGGCCAACGACACACACACACACACACACCTAAACCTCGCAAAGCTGATAAAGAGGGAAAGACTAACAACCTCACCCTGAAAAATAAACAGTACTGCTACTGAAAATTCTAATTCCTCTAGTTTGAAGCCCTATGTTCCCACTGAGAACGTAAACGAAGAAAATCAATAAATGGTAATAATAATAATACTGATTGAGACAGGTTTCTAAAGCGACAAAACAGGTTATTTAGCATATAAAATGATTTATAGAAAGTATAGGTCCTAGAAGGTGATGGAAAATTAGTGGAATTAATAATTAAATGAAAACATTACGCAATAGGGTGACAAATGTGGTGTATAATTTTTAACATAGTAAAATATATACTGAATTCAAATAATAAACATGACAAGTGAAATAACACCGGAAACTGTTTGAAATGATAATAATAATAATACTAACATTCATCTGTATATCTATACAGATTAAATAAACAACACGAAATAAATAAATAAATTATCAGGTGTTGGTTTTCAGGAAACTGATTGGCTACAGGCTTTATCACGAAGAATTACACTCGGAAAAAAATGGCACTATAATTAGCTCCCAGGATAGACGATTGGATCGCTGGAAAGAACACTTTGAGGGTAATTTAACTTGCCTACAGCCACACTGAACCTCCCCGACATCCAGAACACACCCGAATGGGATATAGACACTGGTCCGCCGTCTGTAAGTGAGGTCACAAAAGCTATCAGTAATTTGAAACGAGGCAAAGCGGCAGGACCCGACGGAATTATTCCGGAGGTGTTTAAATATGGGGGTGACATACTAGTTTGTAGATTAACTGAGGTACTAGGCAAAGTCTGGGAATCAGAGACAGTACCATCAGACTGGGGTAAGTCACTTATTATACCGATATTCAAGAAGGGAAACAAGTCCTCGTGTGATAATCATAGGGGGATCAGCCTAACGAACATAGTCTCTAAAATCCTAGGCTCAGTAATCATGCATAGACTAAGCAGAACTCGGGAGGAACAGACAAGGGAAAATCAAGCAGGCTTTAGACCAGGTAGAGGGTGCATAGATCATATCTTCACTCTTCGACAGATTCTAGAACATAGACACACTTTTCGGCGTCCAACAATTGTCATATTTCTTGACTTGAAGGCGGCCTTCGACTCCGTGGATCGAAAGGTACTATGGCAATGTCTGACTGTGAAGGGAGTGCCAAGAAAGTACATTGCACTAATCAAGGCACTCTATTCAAACTCACGTAGTCGTGTAAGGGCTTATGGGGAATTGTCATCTGAATTGGTAACAACCAGTGGTGTCCGACAGGGATGTCCACTTTCCCCATTTCTGTTTAACTTCATCATAGATATGCTAATGGAAGTATCCTTAACTGAACGTAATGACTTAGGAATCGACTTGTTACCAGGGAATAGTCTTATGGACTTAGAATATGCAGATGACATAGTCCTGTTAGGGGAGGATGCTGACAAAATGCAGAGTCTTCTGAACACCTTGAGCAGCAATCTTCGTATGTTTGGCATGCGATTCGCCCCTGCAAAATGTAAGATGCTGCTACAGGACTGGACCACGTCAACTCCTAACTTAGTGATAGGGAGTGAAGTGATAGAACATGTTGACCACTTCACCTATTTGGGAAGTTGTATTAGCACCAACGGACTGATTGGCGATGAAATCTCAGCACGGATCCGAAAAGCTCGAGCTGCTTTCGCTGACTTACACCATCTCTGGCGTAGGCGTGACATCCGGTTATCAACCAAGGGACGTGTGTACTGCTCATCAGTTCGCTCCGTCCTTCTCTATGGCTCTGAAACATGGCCAATACGCGTTGAAGACATGAAAAGGTTGACTGCTTTCGATCATAGATGTCTGCGATCTCTGTCTCACGTTAGGTGGTTTAATAAGGTAAGTAATGTTGACGTTAGGCGTAGAGTGTTGGGCAAAGAGGGAAAATCAATCGACGAGGCTATAAAGTTACATAGACTAAGATGGCTAGGTCACGTGCTGCGCATGCCTAACCACCGCCTCCCCCGACGGGCATTATAGCTAGCTGATATAGGTGCAGGTTGGAAAAGAGCCAGTGGTGGCCAAACAAAAACATGGCCTCATCAATCCATGAAATCCTTGACAGTTAAACTGAGTCAGGTAGGGAGATGCAGACTCCCGGGTTGGGGCCCTCGGGACTCTAGGAATCAATGGCTGGAGACAATAGGTGACATGGCTCAAAATCGTTGTCAATGGCCAGCGCAGATGTATTCAGTCTCTGTAATCTTTCATATTCCTTTCTACCATTACCCATTCTGTTTCACTCTTATACTTGTCAAACTCTATTAATTCTCTTCACTCATCTTCTTGTCTACCTTCGTGTGCTATTTGGAACGTGGCAACTCGAACTGGTGCACTTCGGTGCCAAGTTCTATGTTGAATCCAGACAGACAGACAGACAGACACTCACCGTTCACAGTAGATGGTTGTTGCGCTATGTATCACGAATTGGCAGAAGTTGATATTCATGGGCTGGCTCACCTTGTAACCGCAAGGTTCTGGATTCGAATCTAAATGGGTTCATGCACCTGAAGAGTCCCAAAATAGGACGAAGCAACTGTCCAGTAGCCTCTAGTTCTCCAATGGCTCTCTGACTGTTGTCAGCTTATGATAGAACCTAAAATAAGTAAATGTTTCCATCCCTTCGCTCTATTCTACACCTAAGGTAGAAATAAAGACTGTACATACTGCTTTTATACACAAATGTCTGATCCGAAATCATGAATAACCAAGGTTAACATGATCATTAAACGTTTGGGACGCAGAAAACGTGGTAGATCAGCAGTATTTCAATAAATTATCTTATGACCATTTTCATGATTAGGTGGGTGAAAAAAGTCGATCAAATTTTATGAAGAATAGAGCTTCTCAAACCCTTCCTTTCACCCTTGTAAAACCACGGTAAAATATGTTCTCGCATCTTTGTGGAAAGTGTTATTCATAAGGGTGCAACTTACATTACCACAATTATTATTACTATTATTATAAGTGGTATTCTCTATAGTTGGTATGTAAGGGTTAGTTATGTTTTTACGAGTTGATCACGGAATGATATCAGTTACAGAACCTTTGAAAATCAGCATCGGAGTACTGGGTAGTTGTTTTATCCTAGTTTCAGGAATCATCGCCAGTACCCACCCACTGCCTGGGGTTCGAACCCAGGACCTTCCTGTTACCAGGCAAACTCGTATACCATTAAGCCACTGAGACTGGCTCATAAATTCTAACTTCTACCAATTTGTGATTTAGTGCAACCTCAACCAAACTGATATCAATCCGTGATCAACTCGTAAAAATAAAAACTAACCCTTACAAACCAAACCCAAAAAAACAATTAATATGATGATCGCTAGTGACTTGCTACAGGATGGAGTTTCCTGGAGTTCAAGTAAGAAGTCCTGACCAGTGAGGTCCATGTAGATGTCACGTGTGAGGATGGATGTCCCACCAACAACATTGGTTGGGATACATATACTACTAACATTGTTTCAAAATAAGTAGTATAAGAAAATAGGGTAAAATAATTTTTTCTGAAAAAAAAGAGTAAATACATACCTTGATTTAGCTAGTTTCTCTTCTAATACATCTATACTATCACGTAATGCTGATACTTCTTCCAGTAGACCAATGTATGGAGCATCTTTAATATTTTCATTCCCTTGTCTATCATGACGTTTCTCCAGTCGAGTTTCAGCTAACTTTAAACTAGCTTTTTTAGCCCGGATAGTATCTTCTAAATTGCGTATATCTTTTAAGTGTTCATCTCTTTCTTTTTCAGTCTACAAAGAAGCAAGGAAGGAAGGAAGGAAAGAGGCATTTAAGAGCAACTGAGAAACAGGATAAATGCGTGTCCAATTACGTGGATTTACTGATGATTGACTTTTGACTGGAGTCTTTTTTTTTATCGCTGTTAATATTTCTACTGAAGTTTCTAAAAGAGACATATGTGAGTTTCGCTTGAAGAAGACATTTTTCACCAGCCTGTTTAACTGAGACAGTCAGGTGTGACCAAATATTTCAGTTGGAAACAAATACAGTCTTAAAAAACCACACAATGTTTAAAGTATGGTTTTTGTCAAATTGTAGCTTATTTCTAGTGGATTATGCCTGAGACTGTGCACTGAGAGAGCGAGAAGAATGGAATACACTGGATGACCGATGAGAAGACTCTACAAGATCTGGATTTCACGGATGATTTATGACTCATGTCACACAAAATTGAAGACTTGTAGGCAGGCGAAAACCAACAAACTGGCAGAAGTAGCAGACCGGCATCGAAGACAGGAATGGAGATGAACACAGAGAAAAGACGTAGGAGGTGATGAAAACAACCAACCAATCACAGCAACAACAACAACGAGCACCAATCACCATCAGTAGGCGACATTTGAAAGAGGTTATTTTCTTCACCTATCTAGACTGCATCGTTTCACATACAGAAGACAGCACTGATGAAGATGCTGAAACGAGAATTGGAAAGACAAGATATGTAACAACAGAAGACAAGGGCCAGGCAACAGATCGTTTTATTATGAAAATCAACACGTATTTATACATATTTCACATACATTATTATAGCTTATGCAAGTAGACAAGCGCAGTTATCTGATTGGTTGTTTATCAGAAGTTAGGCAGACAAACGCAGGCTTCTGATTGGTTGTTTAGGGATTCCTCGACAAATAGAGTTCTCTATCTGCGAATCATATCTTGCCACGTTAACTTTGCTGTGATTGGTTGTTGAATCAGCCTTGCTCATATTTTCTCACGGCCTGCTCTCACCACAGATACACTTTCATCAATCTGAAACCAGTTTTGAAATCTTCTACACTCCACCTCATAGTAAAGTACAAGATTCAGATTTTCAACACAAATGTGAAGTCAGCCAGTCAGTTTTAACTATACGTGTCAGAAACTTGGTGAGAATTTTACGTGAAGGATTTCCAACAGGTCACTGCAGACTTTTATCAACAGCTATCCACTTCGCTGCCTCCACACTAAAGATGAAATGGTCGGCCGGCTGATCAGAAAGAATTAGCAGCAAGCGAGCAACTCTGCAGTGGAACAAATCAACAGGCGATAGCCAATTGTTCACTAAATATGTAGGAGAAAATGTAGATGGATCAGGCATACGCCCCTTAGGAGGCCATTGAGTGACATAGCTCAAATAGACTCCCAATGGGAAGTGACGAGTGAGTTATCACATCGACGGTGACATGGAAGAGATCGTCTGGGGAGGAGAGGATGAGATGATACATTATGGTCAATTGTAGATTCACAGTTGAAGAGGATGGCAGAAAATAGAACAAAGTGGAGATGTGTTGTTAAAACACTATGTTCCACTCGGAACCCAAGGGAACAATGATAATGATATTGTAACAACAGAAGACAAGGGCCAGGCAACAGATCGTTTTATTATGAAAATCAACACGTATTTACACATATTTCACATACATTATTATAGCTTATGCAAGTAGACAAGCGCAGTCATCTGATTGGTTGTTTATCAGAAGTTAGGCAGACAAACGCAGTCATCTGATTGGTTGTTTCGGGATTCCTCGACAAATAGAGTTCTCTATCTGCGAATCATATTTTGCCACGTTAACTTTGTTGTGATTGGTTGTTGAATCAGCCTTTCTCATATTTTCTCACGGCCTGCTCTCACCACAATATAACCATATTTGGTGTAGACATGATATCTGCCTATTCATCAAAGGGTTTACTCTATCCTACTCTTTACGTCTATAAGACGCGGTAATTGGATGTGAGATGTCATACAATGATTCCCCTTTATAAATATGAACAAAGAAAGAAGAAACATTGGTGCAGAATAATCTGGATCCATTTTATTTCGTCAGTTCTCATCAGCTGCCTACAACCTGAATTTTTTTTAATAACAATAAAAAGTGTACAATTTTAACACACCTTTGCCCATTAGCAAGCACACTGTCAGAGCGTCATAGTAAAATAAAGCGTTGAGATTTACAGGGTGTCTAAAGTGTTACAATATATATATATATATCTTCGTAGAGAGAAGTTCCTTGAAAAAAATTTATTAACAGTTGTGTGGTTGAGGTGGTAACAAAAGAAAATTAGCAAAAGTTACGTAATTAGATGAGAGAAGGTCAAAATTTTACAATTTCGATGCACATAAGGTCAGATGAGAAGTTGGTGATCCAATATAGTGAGCAGAACTCAGAAGATATGAGATCTTTACTGTACCGCTCTGACAGTATACTTACTAATGCACAAAGGTTTGTTAAAATTGTACACTTTTTATTATTATTCAAAAATTCAGGTTATAGGCAGCTGATGAGAACCAACGAAATGAAATGGATCCAGATTATTCTGCGTCAATGTTTCTTCTTTCTTTGTTTGAATGTTGGCTGTATGAAGAGTCTAGTCGTCTTTGACTTCGCATATCTATGTTCGATCTCCAATGTTAGACAATTCAGTATGGTTAGTAGCAAACAGGTTAGGACTTAGAGTATCAGTTAAGGAGAAAAAGTCGATCAACGAAGTGTTATATAAACACCTAATTTTTCCAAGAATATTACATTTATTTCCACAGTACAGTGATATTTATATTTCCCACCATTTATAACCCCTGATTTCTATTGGCTGTTAGCTGTGTTGACTGATAAAATGTAGTCCATTTAAATCAAGTTCATTTAATCATATATTCCTGGAAATGCTGTCGAGTTTTCTTTCATCATTGACTCGAAACAGTAATAGCTCTCTTCTGAACGATGAATCTTCTCCTTTTCTTCTTTCCGATGGGTGTCAGTAGTATCGTGTAATGGTGGTTGTTGTTGTGACGGTTGATTAGGACAGTAGGCTTGCAAATCTACTAGTTAGTAAGTTCACTACCTTAAAAAGGCTAACAAACTACCAGGTTGTATTTGACTTTCATACTATGGCTAGGATGTATGCTGAGTATGTCAGGGTATCGTCTCCTTTGTCCAGTAATATTAACATTGCCTTCCTCGACGGGCAACGTTAGCTGACATAGGATGGATCAGGTTGGAGAAGAGAAAGCTAGTGGTCGTCAAACCAAAGCATAGCTTCATCAGTTAATGAAATCGTTAACAGTTAGTTTAAGTCACGCAGGAATGTGTAGACTTCCTGACTGGTTGGGGTCCTCAGGACGGTGAAAACCAATGAAGGCTGAAGACAATGGTTGATATGGCTCTAAATCGCCCTTCTCAATGGATGGCGCAGGTGCATCCACTCCTTGTGACTTATATTACCCAATAAAATTATATTGTTTTTCCATATTACCATTTTTTGGCCTCATATCTCTGTGTGCTGTCTCTATTTTGCATTTCTTTTTATCGTCTTCTCTTGGTTTGTGTGCTACATGGAGTGTGGCGACTTGAACTGCTGTCCACCGGTGCAAAGTTCTACGTTGAAACCTGTCAGTTAGTAGTGTTAACCAACATAAGAATGAGTTTATAAAAAAAAGTTAGAGGTAGTCAGGCCAAAACATAGCCATGTACAATGGTATGGTCTACCTGACTTGGAGCCTTGTGACATTGAGAACCAATGGCTTGAGATTATTGGTTATACATCTCAAAACTATTCTCAATGATGCAGTTGTATTCATTCTGTGTAATCTCTTAGATTCAATACACTCCCAGTAGCCTCCATGTAACTTCTTTCTTCTCTATGGCTTTAGGCATAACATTACAAAGTGTAGCAATTTGAACCAGTGCAAAGTTCCATATTGAAAATTTATTTTCAAGTGTCGGTTCGTAGGAATTTGATTGGTTGGTTACAGGATTTCATTATGAGCTGACATTGGTTAGAGAACCACCATTGGGAAACCACCTGGGAGTACTGGACGGTTGTTTCCTCAACGTAGTTTGAGACTCTCCATCAGTACCACCCACCCACCCCTAGGGTTCGAACTCAGGACCTTCTGGTTACAAGGCGAGCTAGTGTGTAGACCATTAAGCCACTGAGACCCAATCCAATGGCCAGCCCATGAATTCTAACTTCTGCCAATTCATGACATAGCGCGACATCCTAGCCAATGTCTTCCGTGGTGAGTATTTGTCCTCACACCCAACCTGCTGCATCCTACTGGTCACGACTTATCACTAGAACCACAGGGATCTATCTACCTAAATAGGGCAAGTTGCCAGTGAGCATCTCATTGATATTCAAGTGTTGGTTTGTAGGGATTTCATTGATTGGTTACAGGATTTCTTCATGAGCTGACATTGATTACAGAACCACTGGAACTGGTTAGGGGTCAAGCTATGTCGTGGATCGGCAGAAGTTCGAATTCAGGTGCTGGCCATTGGATTGGGTCCCAGCGGCCTAATGGTCTACGCGCTAGCTCGCCTTGTAACCAGAAGGTCCAGGGTTCGAACCCCTGTGGTGGGGGCGTACTGAAGAAGAGTTCCAGTACTCCCAGGTGGTTTTCCAATTGTTCTCTGCCTAATATCACCTGATGATGAAATCCTAAAAATGTATTTATTTCACTAATTAAAAATGAAATTCCAGTGTGATTTTCTTCTATAAAAAATCTAAACTATTCTAGTCACTATTTTTTTGACCTATATGACACCACAAATCACGTGAAGATTACCTGTAAATAGTGACTATGGTGGTTAATTGTAAGTAATAATTCTACAGTGTGTTAAATTCTTATACAGTGATACCTGACCTATTACTGATCTGAAAGATTATTCAACAACTCTCTCTCTCTTAAAATTTATTCAATAATCCACAGGGATGTTATTAAAGATGTTTGATGAATGTAAGAAAAGGGAAA